TTGCTGTAGTTCGTGGGCTCGAGCAATGTAGAGCCATATATATGTGTGCGTTGCATATCGTCATGCGGGCCGAGCTCTTTTTCCTCGTCACGGTGGGGTGCTCTTGTCAACGCCGTATCCCTGAATACAGACATGGCATTCTGCTGTAGATATCGTGGACTGCCCGGGCGTCACAAAGTACAACGTTCGGCATTATATGCCTTTGCTGCTCTTGTATGACTCCTCCCATGCTGACCTGCACTACTGCTTTTCCTATTATCAGATGTACCAGGCGAAACTCTTCGAAAACGAACAATCGAAGAACGGAATTCGGCGTTTCGCAGTCAGCCAACACTTTCACTACGTCTCTTCAGACGCGTCCGGCCCGGAAACGCGCAACGGGACAATCATGGTGCACTCCACGATAACAGAGATGCTGGCTAATGTAAGTCGAAGGCAAATGCATGCCCGGGCCGAAACGTTTGTTCCCATCACTTTGGTGGTGTTTGTAATGAAACCAACGGATGGCTGTATGTAGAGCGAAGGATGAAAGACATTTGTCTAACGACGTTGAGCCGGTCTACACATCCCCCTTCAAGGTCGAGCCAAAGCCAAGGGTTCTCCTTTCGTCTTACCGGCCTACCTGCGTGTGAAATGCAATTGGTAGGTCATGATCGGCCGGGCCGTGGAAACAAAGGCGAAACTCTATGCAAAGGCCGCCGCATCAACCGACGAAATTCGAAAAATGAACGCCGAGTTCGGGAAGGCGTTTCAGGTTGGTATGTATGCAGGCTAGCCAAAACAACACGTATTGTTCGGTTTCTGGTTGATGCTTCAGAGATGTGTGACTTGGCTGGCGCGTGAAACATACGCGGGAAGGTGTAGACTGGCTCCCGAACTAGACGGGGCGGCAACCAACATGCGATTGTAGTGCAGTACACCAAACAAACATTTCAACATGAAGACTTCCGTAGCAGGCAAAGGCTGGAACGCGCCGCAAGGACCAGTTTCAGCCTGAGTTTGTTACAGTAGTTTAGTCCTAATCTCTGTCCCCCACCCCCACTGTTACCGTCCGAAATTGATAATGCGTCAGGTGTGCTCGGATTGCCCTAGCGCTCTTCTGCCGTTCCACGTCAAAGCGATCCCTGAATCCGTCTGCGAGATCGTCCAGTCCCTGCCTGGAGATGCGAAGACGGGCGAGGCGTGGCCTGGAAGTCTGTGTCCCGATTGGTGCATGAAGCAGGCGCCTGTGTCTCAATCAACGACCCAATCAGGTGTCGTGGAAGTCCGATGGTGCCGCCGCAAACACTGACCAACCGTGATGAGATCGGTTGACGGTGAATGGTGGGCGGAGTACGGCCTATTCCTTCATCTCAAAGTCGCACAGATCAACACCCGCCCAAAGTGAACCTAAGAGGTAAACATACCCGGGCGAATAATCCCGCCCCCAGGAAGGGGATCATTCCCCTCGATATTGGCGGAGCGGATTGGCATCCGTGGAGGACCTTGTTGAAGAATGTGATGCGGACATGGACGGAAGTTTGCCATGAAACTGAA